ACTATCTCATGGTATGTCCGGAACATCAAGTGTTTGACGGCCGACAGTCATGTATAGACACATTCCGGTGCCCTCTATATGATGGCGACTTCACAAACCCTAATAACCGACACCAATACTACCAGTGTCTCAATAGTAAGCCTTATCTGAAGACCTGTCTGTCCGGTATGTATTTTGATGACTGGTTGCGGAAGTGTATGAAAAATGTGAACGCATTTGAAGGGTGTCCCGAGCACCACCCTGGCAAGTTTAAGCACCCGTCCAGTCAGAATCTATATTATGAGTGCTGGGAGGGCATTGCCATAACCAAGTCGTGCGGTGATGGGTATTATTTCAATGAGCAAGCACAACTGTGCACAAATAACAACCAATTTTATTGTCCTGAAACTAACGGTAAATACGCTGATCCACACAATAATACCCGTTACTACCGGTGCCGTAACAACATTCCAGTGCTGTTGTCGTGCCCTCACACTTACTTATTTGATGGCAACAAGTGTTACCAACAGTACAAATGTCCCAAACCTAACGGAAAGTTTGTTAGTCCTAACAGTCGGCACGAGTACTACGAGTGTCGTAACGATGTGCCGTTGATAGAAGTCTGTCCCATAGGACAGGTATTTGACGAGACGGTGGGACAATGTGTGGAGACTAACAGACGTGCGCTCAAGAAAATGGTGATAATATCGGGACGGATAGAGTTTGATGACAATGGGGTCAAAGTTGTGGACGTATGGGATAATGTGGACCAGTGGTGGAAACGCACATATGATGGCGGTCCGTATGTGCCGGTGCCACGGCATGACCACCACTTTATCCCGGCTTAATATATAAATAGCACAAATGACTGACAATAGTTTTCTATTTTATGCAATGTAGTGTATTAGTTTTATGAGAATTAAGTTAGCTATTTGCTTTATATTTTAGAATTTGTTATCATTTAAAAAATAAAATAAACCTATTAAAGTTGCAATAAGTTGATAGAAATTAATAATTTATCTCAAAAATAAATTGAAAATCAATAATTTTGTATAACAGTAATATTATTTTATATGTTATACTGTACAGTGATTTTTATTTTTATTTAATTTATATCAATTTTATCAATCTTTTCGCATATAAATAACATTTGTGTATTTTATAGTCAATTTGAATATAAATGGTTTAATTATTCAAATAGCTGTTTAATTTATGCATTATCTATTAGATATAATAATTGATAAAAATATGAATAACATTATTTCAACTTTTTTAAGAAATAATTTTAAATACTTATTTGAGCACTACTGTACATTTTTGAGCATTTATAACCAAAAGTAATGGGGAGTCAAATACTATACAAAATCTTTTTCAGCCTAATAATACTGGTCTCATGTGAGACATGGGGTAAGTTTTAATAGTTTTAATATATTACTTATTATTAATAAGTAATTAACAACTATTTCTTGTCATATAATCAACAAACTTATGATACGATAAGTAATCAGAGGGACAACAATAAGACCCGCAAATGAGTACCCATTTGTATGCCCACAACCGGACGGCTATTCGCCGCACCCGTACAACAGCTCTCAGTACTACTTGTGTCGCAACGGTAACTCATATTTGATGACATGTCCGGCCGATACAGTATTTGACGGCAGACAGACATGTATTGATGCCTTCCGGTGCCCACAATATGACGGCAACTTCACGATTGCCAATAACCGACGGCAATACTACCAGTGCACAAATGGCAGACATGTACTGATGACCTGCTCATACGGTACGTACTTTGATGAGCTCACCCGGCGTTGTATTACAGGAGGCAGGGATGACAGGGATCGGGAGCCGGACTATGTCTCGTGTCCTAAAGAGGAGGACAGGTTCGCCCACCCGTCCAATCAGAGCCAATACTACGAGTGCCATTCAGGCCGGTATGTACTGCGCTCGTGTCCCTACGGCCTATATTACGATGAGCAAGCACAGTATTGCATACGCTTTGGCAATCAGTTTTATTGCCCACAACCTAACGGTGT